CATTTTGAAGATCATTCGTTGCGGTTCACAGCTATGGCTTTCTTAATACCCAAACCTCTCTAGTTTTTTACCTACATACCCGTGAAGATGAACAGACCATTTTGTGAAGACTCTTTCAATGCCACTCAGGCATCCATGGCGTCATAGAACCGTCACAGATTCTACCATTCCATTCGCCATGCGGCGATTGAGACCGAGCAATATATAACTGTCGAGTCGTCCATATCTTTCGTAAGTAAGCGCCATTTCCAGATACAATATTCGTCAATTGGCCTCAAATAAATGCTGTGCAAGGTACTATGACGCCATCAATCAATGGCGTAAAGAGAAGCATATTTACTAGATAGAGAAATTTTGTTGTTCGGGGCAATCTTTTCCACTTAACAGCACACCAACAGTTACAAGTAAATTTATTTCATTATATCCGATGCTCGCCCTAATGCTTTCAAATTTGGAGCATTCTCATTAATGATAAAGGGGGCTTTCTTGGCTTCATAAAATCAGAAATCAAATGAAAATTGAATCAAATTCAATCAAAACGAATAAAATTGATCAAAATCTTAATCAATCAAATCAGATCTTAAATCGAAAATTGTTGGCTACATACTTCAAGGCAAACCTTGAGGCGTGATTTACAGTCTTTCACGGATTTTCATTGATATTTTCTGTTTGGCGGATACAGGCCAAAGATTTAGGTGTGCAGGGCCAGGTGTCACATTTCTTGAATGTAAAAATTGAGAGCAGAATGACAGTTCTAGTTGGCAAGCAGAGTCAATTTACTTTAAAGGTCCCAGCATGATTTATGGTGCCGTGTAAGTGATCCCTCGATCTTGCGATGCTGATGGCTACAGTAGCTTGTTCATACGTTGCATTCCAACAGAATGAGAGATTGTCTGGGTGAAAAACGACACCATTAATCGGTAATATTTTGGAGTTACAAATAGTTCCTGTGCCATGACGTAATGCAATTCATGACAGCCCTAGAATTGTCTACTAAATGTTGATGCCAAATGTTATTGTCACGATTACAATACAATACACAGATTACAATACCATTAAGTGTCACGATGAGGGTAACTAACACACAGAGACCAAACTCCTCTGGGATGAAACTGGACTGACTCACTTCCCACGCACTGAGCCTGAAGGCCCCAGTGTTTGCCGTGCACTGTCTAAAGAAAACGACATCTGAAGCGTCACATAATGGTTAGAAAATGCAACCTGCTGATCAGCCCCCCCCCCCCCCACACACACACACCATCATCCATATGGAACATATTGTTGTGCCTCTGGTAATGATCCAATGCTAAAATGCGTCAGTGGTGTGTCATTTCGCTAAAAGGAAGGATTTAGGTGCGTTCAGCTGGCAACAGCGCTCTCAACGGTGCGCTTACACTGAGAGTGGCTAAAGATAACGATAACGCCAATGCGTGCAAAAAAAGCGAGAATATCTCTCATTTCACAGCGTGGGTCTCGACCGATCAGCAGATAGAGGGCGCTGATGGAAAATACCGTGGTCTGTCCGCTTCAAGGCGCCGGCAAAAGGCAGGGACATATTCCGCAGACAACCGGTCCCTGCATCTGTCACACTGTGGCACACACTGTGTTTGCTGGCGTCTTTTAGGGATGGGTTGCATCACTCTTCACTGATCCGGCCTCCGGGGGCCGAGTTGAGCGAGGTGGGTGGAGTATGAATCGAGGACACCAGCTCATTTGACGCTTCTGACCACAGGACACTTGTGCAGAAATCACAATATTGCATTAATATTAGTTCTAGTGCAATTAAAACACGTTTGATCGACTGCATTTCAACGACGATATTTTGAACATCGAAGCATGCTAGATGTCAACCTGCACACAAACGCTCATTAAAATATAATCATTGGTGCGTAGTTGACCGTAAGTGTTTTTATGCCAGTAGTCTTATTACCATGGTGCGTGTTTTTACCAGCCCATCTTTCTTGGTCGGACTGGAAGAACACAGAAAGGGGTGAAACTCCAAAGTTTGGTGTGGCAAAGTATGCATGGTCAGACAGTGATCACCGGTCCTCATAGCATCAGATAACCATCATAGACAGAGAGTAACACTGGAAAGCTAGGAAGATTAGGAAGACGCTGGCTGACAACCCCATCCGTAAGCTAAGCGTGAGCGTCAGCCCAATAGAACACCTATTTTTTCTCGGAAAAATCCCAGAACATGTCGATGAATGACATCAAATTTGAACATCGAGACATTGCCTTTCCGGTCAGCTCAGTTGGAAGAGCACCGTACTCGAAACCAGAGCACTCTGGTTCGAATGCCAGCGAAGTCCCAGCGCCTCCTCGTGACCAACACCGGCGGCGGAGGGCACCGTCTGGACATCACAGCACGGAGGAGGAAGTGCAGACGAGTGGTCACTGACTGAGCCCTGGAGCACAGCGACGTCTTCTGGCGGGCCGGTCAGGTTCGTCACGACCAGGTCTAGCGCTGTTAGTGTCGGGCGGAGGTGCGCCACCTCTCGCTCTGCTGCGGCAGACTGATGTTAGAGTCCGGTCGGTGTTCGTGTTATTTTTACATATATCGTGACCTTTACCGTTTTTTACATATATCGTGACCGTTACCTTTTTTGTTGTGTGTGCTTAAATGCCTGCTACCTTTGTACAATGTAAGCCTGGCTAGATTCATGATACTCACAATAGGGATGAATCCTTAGCACGCGCACGCGTGTTTTGTTACATGCGCGTTTACGCTGCACTGTAGGCTTCGTCGTCCTAATATAAGGCCAAGGACATCAGAGTTATCAGTGCATGCCAATAAATCACTCCCTGCCAAAAGCACTCTGGTGGAGAGGCTAAAGTCAAACGTAGGAGCGTTCGTCTTATCCCGCTCTCGCTCCAGTTCCGCCCACTTCAAACGTTCGAAACAGCATACGTGTGACCTGTATTCGCCGTGGTGAGGAAGATATGACGGCGGATATGAGCATTACTATCGCGCAGATGATATGGAAGTCCAAACAAGTGGTGCCAGACGTCGATGGGGCACCGAGTCTACGTCTGTCATCAGTCATGTCTGCCTGTCACGAGAGCTCACGGTCAAACGGGCTCTTGGAGGTAGAGCTAACGGAAAACACGGGCTACTTTAATGATGACAGTGACTTTCTGTTCAGGTAAAATGGGATTCCCGGCGCAGAAAAGAATCTTCTGAGCCGGATCAGTGCCCTGACTGCTTTGACAAGCTCAAGTATGATAACCTCCTTAACCTGAACTTTAACAACACCTTACAGCTACAAAGCCATCAGTTTGTGCAAATGGGGTCTCCCAAAAGCCTTGAGGGGCAAAGACACACTCTATTTCTCCCCATGTCTGCTGGCAAGTTTGGGCTCGACATTTAACCCATAACAATAGGAACGTATGCCGGGTCTATCAAAACTCATCAATGAGGCTTGATAACACGAGACAAGCTCCGTATTGTGAGAATGTCACACTGCCATGTTGGTGTTGCAAGCGGCGCTGGATGAAGCAGCGAGTGCAGGGTCGATTTGAGTCCATTTCTCGATCAAAATTTTGGAGTTAAGGTTGTGCAAACGCAACTTCGCGAGATAATATATTCACTTAGAGCGATCCTTTTATTTGGCGGAAAACTTGAAATAAATATGGAGAAGGGTAAAAGATGGACATACGGAAGTTGTCCTTTGGTAAAACATGCCACAGTTTGTATCATACGTTTATATGTAACTTATTTCAAGAGCGTTCGTACTTCGCTGTTACATACATGCCTCTCGGTGCTACAAACGTTGAACTCGATCTCGAGATGCAGCCCGCGATGTCGGCGTCTGCTTTGAATGGAGAACCAATGTGTTCTCAACGTCAAGTCCATTGATTCGCCGCTGCCGCTCAACATCAGCGCGCAATGTCCCGTCTCCACCAGAAGCGAACCAAACTAAACAGAGTTCTCAGAGAACATGAGCCTTTACGGTTGTACTTTCCCACGGCACAGCATGTGAGCGGGCGGTGAAAGCTGGGTGTGGTCCGATCGGTGACGTTTGCGAATGGCGAGACGTGGGCGTGGACGCAGTTGGCAGGCAACTCGCTCCACAGGCCCTCCAGGATTTAGGGGTGGCATAAGTGATCTATCCATCGTACAGTGCTCATCGCTATAGCTTTTTTTCTCAACGATAGGAGAAGTGGTGTGGGTAAAAAAAAGAAAGTTAATTGGTAACATTTTTGAGTTACAAACACTTCCTGTGCCATTGCACAATGCAAAGTTAAGACAGCCCGAGAATTGTCTGTTAAATATTGATTGAATGCAACTTATTATGTTGATGATGGTACCTGACGCCGAGAGACTTGATGCAATCCACCTGGATGGTAAGCGAGGCCTGAGATAGGTACTCGGTATGGCTGTGGTAATCATCAACATGTCTACAGTCAGGTTCCCATTGCATTTAGGCAACGTTAATCGGGACCAAATGACACTGGTTCCACGTGTACCCCTGTCACTTCGCAAAAAGCAGCGACAGTCGCAGAGGCGCTGATCTCCTCGTGCTCGTCACGCGGCGCAGAGTTCTGGGGCCACATCAGTGGACCAGCGCCGGTATTCATAGCACATCTGTAAGTGTTAAAGCGTCAGAAATTGCATACCTTATTTGGTGTACTCTATTTATGCCTCTATTCTCACAGACCTCAGGAAACCAAAGTAAAATCTGACCTTACGTCGTGTGTATTTATGAAAATAGTGCTTCCTCTCGCTCTCAGGATCGCTCTGCACTTCCTACTTTCTACCTCATATTATGCCATCATCCTTCACCTACCTTCATTGCCTTCCACTTTCCTCCCCTCCCTTTTATCCCGACCCCTTAGCCATATTTCCATCCGCTCATCACCACTTTCTCCTCCCCAGCCCATTCCCTACATAACACACCGCCATCCATTCCACCCTCTTTCATCATCCCACCCACGTCTTCCTCCCTTCGTTCTCATCTTGCTAACCCTTGCCCCGTCCCACTTATCACTTTCCTCCAGTTTGGCCTCATTTATTACTCCTTTCTTTCCACGTGCTGGTACATTTTACTCTTTCATCTGGTCCTGTTCAGCTTCTTTGAGCTCGTTAACTTTATTCCAGCTTTCCTCAACCGTTCCCATCTCATCATACACCCCATACATACATGCATACATACCCCATACATCCGTCTCTCCCCTCCATCCTGGATCTTTCACCTCTTGCTCAATTCTAAAACGTTCTTCTTGTGACACTCCTCCTTTAGCAATCTTTCTTTTTTCACGCAATCCCTGTCCCGTCGTCCCTTCCCCTTCCCTTCATAGATCCCTGTACACTCCCTTTAGTGCTCCCTCTAGACTCCCCTACTCCCTCTACACTTTGTCCGTCACCCCGTCTCCCCGAGGCTGCCTCAGCTCCACCCGCAGGTTGATTTGGCCCGAGGCGGGTGCGAGAGACGGCGGAACGATGGCTAGCTCCAGCGGCTCGCTGGTCGGCAGCAGCCGGTACCGACGTAGCGTGTGACACAGCGCCAGCTTGATCTCCATCATGGCGAACCGCATGCCGATGCAGTGGCGCGGCCCGGCGCCGAACGGCATGTGGCTGCAGGGCACGATGTGCGGCTTGTTTTCGGCGCTGAACCGCTCCGGGTCGAAGCGCTCCGGGTCGGGCCACAGGTCAGGGTCGTGATGCATGCAGATCGGTACCACGGCCACGAAGGCGCCGGGTGGCACGCGCATCCCCTGAACCTCCGTCGCGAAGCTAGCCTGTCGGCCGTACAGCGCTGGGATCGGCGGGTAGAGACGCAGTGATTCCTGAATCACCATCTCCAGGTACGGCAGGCCGAGCACGGTTTCGTAGTCGAGGTCACCGCTGGCCGGTACGTTAGCCACGATCTCGTCGTACAGGCGGCTCTGTACGGTCGGGTGGCGCGCCAGAAGGTATGACGTGAAAGCTAGCGCTGTACTTGTTGTCTCATAGCCGGCCCCGATGAACACGAACGCGTTGGAGAGTAACTCTTGGTCAGTGACGGCTTCGCTGCCACTGTCGGCGCGCTGCGCCTCCAGCAGCAGCTGCAGGGCGTCTGTGACCGTCGCACCACTCCGTTGGCGATGCTGGATGACTCCGCGAAGCCAGCGCTGCAGCTGCTGGTCCACGTGGTACGCGCGCGAGGCCGGCCCGAAGGCGCGCAGCAGGGGCAGCATCAGACGCGTCAGCGGCTGCAGGCCGCGCAGCACACCCATTAGCGGAGCGGACCCAAGCAGCGTCTTCATCATAACAAGGAGCGGGTCGCGCTGGTCCGTCTGGCAGTGCACCTCCATGGCCAGCGCGCACTTGCCAATCACCTCCAGGGTGAGGCTGCGGAAGGCGGCGTATACGTTGGTCGGCTGGCCCTGGAGCCTGTTGCCCTCTAGCACGTCCAGGAACGTCTGAATGGACACGTTCATAGCCGGCGACATGCCCTTCAGCTTGTTGGTGGTGAAGGCCGGGTTCAGGACGCGGCGGACGTATTTCCAGCGCTTGCCCCTCAGCGTCAGCAGGTTATGGTCCGGAATGGTCAGCACAGGGCTCTTGTTGTCCTGCCGGTCAGGAAACGTGTCCACCCGCTGAACGAACACCTCGCGCACCAGGTCTGGGTCCGTGGTGCACAGCGTGGGTTTCGTGCCGACGTACAGCGCCATCGTCTTGCCCCGCGTTCCATGCTGGACCCCGTAAGCATCGAACAGACGCTGGAACTCCGACGGACCGGTGGTGCCCTTCAGCTTGCCGGCGTGCCCATAAAGCAAGCTGTATGGTGGTATATTGTATCCTAGTCTCTGCAGCGTCTGGAACTTGTAGAGGCGTCGTCTGCAAACCCGCAGAAGATATTTAGTACACGCAGAAGCGATGCATAGCCAAAATGCATCTCACCGCTTGAAACAAACGACCGTGCGTGAGCCCATCAAGCGATCAACCGACGCTATTCCGTCAAATGTGAATATTCCAATTCCTTTTACTGCAATGTTAAAAAGCCGAACAGGTAACATGCGAATAGCGTAATGACATGTCTTTTACACGACGGACAGATTGTTGAAAGGCTAGCTTAAGCTAGCTTAGCTAGCTTAAAAAAACCAGCATCCGAAATGTGTATTAGCCCGATATCAATAAACTAAAAAGGAATTGGGGTGAATGGCAATTAGATGATTGAAAACTCATCGAATGGTCATTTAACTGAATGTAAAATTGTCGAATGGTCAAACAGCCTAGTCCATTCTGTGCAATGTGACTTGGGCATTGACAAGATCTGTATTGATGCCTTAGGAAGCCTCAGAACGCCGTCCATAAATTACGCTTGACATTGAAGAGGAGGCGAATGGAAGCGTAGCGAATGTAATGAACATAAGAGCATGGAGTAACCATGACTATGCGTGTAAAAAAGATGGAAGAGGATGGGAGCTTGTAAATTACCAAATACTTTATTACCAAATACTTTAAATTACCAAATACTTTATTTGTGAATGTCCCCTGAGCGTTTCTACCAAATCCTAAACAGAAGAATAGCGAAAGCATTTTCTCGCTATCTGTCCCTCCAGGCAACGGCATGGCACCAAAAGTAAATTGCTAGCCTCAAACCTTAAACCTTAAACACAATATGAACCACATTCATTGCAGGAGGTTTAACAAAAACTTTGTGGGTTCGGTCTTCCATTCGTAGGTGTGTCAGGAAATAAAACGACAGTTTAGGTAAAATGTATCTCTTTACGGCCAAGTAAGCATAACGACGTTCCTTTTTCATATCCATCGCTGGAAATTGGCATGTTAACATCTATAAGAACAAACAAAATTGTCACCCAAGGTCATACAAATTGTTTGACGTTGGAAAAGCCAATGACCTGTAAAAACTCAAATGGAGTTTTTACCCTTGAGGTTTTCTTGTCTTGCTTGTCGTTTAAGTGTGTTGGGGTTTGTATTGTACCTGTCACAGATATCCGTTCGCCTTTAAAAGGAATGCTTCACATTATAAAATACTGAAGCAAGCATCCCATATCATGAATCAAGCTTACTAATGATTATTGTTATGCCTTTAAGCTGACGACATTGCTCTAGATATTACAATTACTCTATTTACTAAATATGGTCCCCAATGCGTTACTGTTTGAGTGCGTCATGGAATGTCTGTGAGACGTCAGAGCTGCTGTCAAACTGACCATGCGAAATCGACACCCTGGTGTTCCCCTGAAGTTCTCCAATCTCCCAACAGGTGGCCGCAGCGGTGCCGGAGGTATTTGTTGAACCAAGTATCGTTAGATACTCGTGGTTTGGTTATTCTCGTCGTTTTCTTGCATATTTGTCGATAAGCTTAAGCTGCTTACTTGTGTCCAAATAACCGTTTATGGTGCTACTCTTAAGCTACTTGATTACAAGTCATATTCCTGTAACAACTAGTAAGGATGGCCAGCTTCTTGTATAATGTAACACAAAACGTGATGCGTGATTGAACAATACAGGATCGCGACGGGCAGGCTCACAGGGTTTCGTCAGTCGATTCGGTGGCCGAAGACCCATCTGACACGACCTCAGTAAGTGGCTTGCTCCTATTGCGACTCTCAGCCAAGGAGTCCTTTGTTCGCATCGTCGATTTCGTCACTTTTCCGTTCGCACTGGCTCCAAACACACCTTTTCGCTTAGTTTTTGTTCTCTTCTCGCTCCCCTGATATGGGGAAGCGAACCAAACGTAAGAAGGGTGATACTGATACGGACTCGAACTCGGCCTCTGACCTCGATAATGCCCTGGACGTAGACGATGGGAGTGTCGCCAGCCCCGCTTTTGCTGCCACTTCACCTGATGACCCTCGCGCGCCCCAGGCCATAACCGTTGGTACGCGCACTTCCACCGCGGTGGGTGTACAACAGGCTTCGTCTCCGTCCAACGCCCCCAGTTCCGACCCTCGCTCGTCTTTGACCACTCCGATGCCCGCTCGCCCTGATGCTGACCCTCGCTCGACAACGACCAGTGTTCGCCAGCCCTCTGAGCCAATCCTGGATCCTCTCGGATTTTACGTTGTCGTCCAACCTTGTGATGAAAATGTGTCGTTTCGAAAGATCAACGTTTTTTGGCCATCAAAGCAAATCAAGGCTATCTGCGGTCCATGCGAACTCAAGATTGAAGCGCCAGCAAACGGATCACTCATCATCAAAACAACCACTCGCGCGCAAACCAAGGCCCTACTCAAAACAGCTGAATTTTGCGGCAAACAAGTCAAAGTCTCACTGCACCATGCCAGAAACACCAGTAAGGGCACCATCTTCGCGCCTGAGCTCCGCTTCATGACGGAGGACGAGATCCTAGCGGAGCTCAGAGATGAGCAAGTTTGCCATGTCCGTCGGCTGACGACTTTCAGAGATGGTCAGCGTCACGACACCAGCCTGCTTGTTATCACCTTTGGTACCACCCGACTTCCAGATTCGCTCACCGCTGGTTACCTTCGTTATAAAGTAAGAGTATTCATTCCAAATCCACTCAGGTGGTTTAAATGTCAACGGTTCGGACACGGCAGCAAGTACTGCAAACAGAGTGCCAGATGCTTGAAGTGCGGCGAGACTCCTCACGAGGGATCTGCCTGCACATCACCCCAGAAATGCCTGAGCTGTGGAAGTGCTGATCACGCCGCCAACTCTTCTCAGTGTCCCACGTGGAAAAAAGAAAAAGAAATTTGTTCTGAAAAGGCAAAGACAGGTGTGTCGTACCCGGAAGCACGGCGCACCGTTGAAACTAAAATGTCGTCGCAGCCCAGCAAAACATATGCCCAAGTAGCAAAAGCCACGATGGCCACATGTGCAACACAGACCGACCCTATCACCCATCTGCCTCCTCTGAAACTTCTCAACCCTCGCCCCTCGGTTTCAGTTGAGTCAACTACGCAGACCCAGACGAAAAATGCCGTTGAGTCGCCCTTGGCCGGACGTTCGGATGCCCAGGCGCCCGTGCACCCCTGTCCCCAGGTCGGCCGGCGTTCCAGCCCGCCGGCTGTGAGTGATTCACGCGCGGGTCAGGCCGTTCGGCGTTCTAGCCCCCCGGCTATGAACAGTCGGCGGCCCGGACCCTCTGGCCACCACACAAACATCACCTCCCCTTCCCCCACCACAACACCTGTCGAAACACGCCCGAACGAAGACCGCCGGTCCCGTCCACCGGTGAGGGTGGCGATGGGACGGCCTAGGTCTGTTTCGTTCGGGCGATTCCCATCAACCGGTGGGAATGGATCCCTTCATCACTAAATGTCTTTCATCTTACAGTGGAATTGTCGCGGTCTCATTTCAAAATGGTCCGAAATGAAAGCACTTTTTGCCGTACTAACTCCAATCATCATTGCCGTACAGGAAACATGGTTTCGTCCCACCGACACATATAACTTTAAAATGCCAAATTACTCGTTATATCGCTATGACACGATGGACGGTGAGCGTCGCCAAGGTGGGGTGGCGCTGTACATCAGTCAAAAATTAACACACACGCCACTCACTCTTAACACACCTCTTCAGGCTGTTGCAAGTTCAGTTCGACTGCATGGCCGTACCATCAATATATGCTCAATATACATTACACCAAATTATAATAATACGGAGCTCTTACGGCAACTTGACCAACTCGTTGCTCAATTTCAAAACCCTTTTCTCATCCTCGGCGATCTCAACGCTCACAGTCCAGCTTGGAGTAACGGCACCCAAGCCGTTAATCGCCGAGGACATTTGGTTGAAGATTTTATTGATACACACAACTTAGTCCTGTTAAACAAAGGCAATAATACTTATCACCACTTACCCACTGGTACAGAAACAGCCATCGACCTGTCGCTGTGCTCTCCCTCAATAGCAACGTACTTTGATTGGACTGTTGAGGGAGATATACACGACAGCGACCATTTTCCAATTAAACTTTACACCACTTTTGACGCAACCGCTGACGAAGTTTTGCGATCCATACCCCGCTGGAATTTACGAAAAGCAGACTGGGCCAAATTTCAAGAACTTTGTTATGTGAACCGTGACTGTTATGAATCACCAGAGCAGGGTGTTGGCCTTATTACACATATTATTCGTGCTGCAGCAACCGCGACAATTCCACTAACTAAAACGCCATCACGCCGCATCCCAGTACCATGGTGGACGACCGAAGTTAAGAACGCTATTGCGCGTCGGAAACGTGCTTTCCGCTGCTTTCGTCGCCACCATGATATACCTCATCTTCTTGCCCGAAATTATGAGCGTGCTCGAACCAGACGAATTATAAGGAGTGCCAAACGTCATTCTTGGCAAGCATACATCCAGCAGTTCACTGCTGCTACTCCCCTAAGCCAGCTATGGGGACTGGTTCGGGCACTTTCCGGAAAACGCATCTCTATTTCATTGCCCACTTTACGCATTAATAACCAAATCATTTCGGCAACACCTCTTATCACCAATGCTCTTGCTGAAAGTCTTTCTCAGTGTAGCTCATCCGGAAATTACCGACCAGGATTTGTGGAAACTGCGCAAGCCCGTTTTCGTTTACATACTGATTGTTTTGTTTCCGATAACACCGAAGACTATAATTTACCATTTTCATTTCTGGAACTACAAAGGCTATAAAATCCGCCGGCAACACCTCAGTTGGTCATGATCAGTTACACTATTCTTTTTTTCGTAGTCTTTCAGAAGATATGCTTCGTTTTATATTGGCAGTTTTTAACGATTTGTGGTCAACCCATGTCTTTCCTGACGCCTGGAAAGACACCATCATTATTCCACTTGCAAAGCCAGGAAAAGACACCAAAGATCCATCAAATTATCGTCCCATTGCACTTACCAGCTGTCTAGGAAAACTTTTT